CCAGCATAAGAAAGATGGGAACCTGTTGGAACAAGGCTACAGGAGAGCTGCTAAATTGATCAGAGGGCTGGAGCCCCTCTCCCATGAAGACAGGCTGAGAGAGTTTGGTCTGTTTGTCCTGGAGAAGARAAGGCTTGGGGTGACCTTCTAGCAGCCTCTCAGTACATAAAGGGGGCTGCAGGAGAACTAGAGAGGGACTTCTCACAAGGACATGTAGTGATAGGACAAGAGGGACAAGGGCTTCAAACTGAAGGAGGGCAGGTTTAGATTAGATACTGGGAAGAAATTCTTTGCTCTTAAGGTGGTGAGGCACTAGGACAGGGTGCTCAGAGAGGTTGTCAACTCCCTGTGTCTGGAGGTGTTCACAACCAGGCTGGATGGTCCTGATGAGTAACACGGTCTAGTGGAAAGTTCCCTGCACTTGGCAGGAGGGTTGGAGCTAGGTGATCTTTAAGGTCCCTTCCAAAGCAAGTCCTATGATTCTGTGATTCTTTGATAAATGTCTTTAGCACTAATTTTGAAAGTTGTTCTTCTCSTAWAAGTGGCAAGTAAACAGCAGCAAGYGACCAGTACGGGATTGTCCATAATGACAYTGCTCTGGTCACCATTACTGTTGTGGGTCTGGTGGAGAACCAGTRTGGCAGAAGAGTGAGGAAGAGGGAAATTCATTCTTGTGAGGGTGCAGTGACCAGGAATCGGCACTTGTGCAWGTGGAAACCTGAGGATATACCCCACACATGACTTATTGTGGGAAGTCCTGTCGGCRAAGGGAAGACTCAGACCACTCAATATGAGTTATAAGCGAACTTCCATTTATTGCAAACAATGTCTAAGTTTTATAACATACATAATTAGCTCATACATATTCTGTAATACATGTATTTCATAGGTCCAAGTCCTAAACGTCAACTCCACCTTTAATGATTCATTTGCCAAATTTCCCTTATCTACTTCTACTTTTTCCCAAGGCTAACTAACACAAATACCTCGTAGGGAGTTTCCAGTGGCTTAAAAACATGATGTCCTCGCATTGCCTTCCCATCACCTCAGAAGGATGGTTCACACAATTTCAGCAATTATTCTATCTGAGCGTGACACCTGCATTCCTTCATCTCACCAAGCTGTAAAATGTCTATGTGACCCTTCTCAGCTTAGCCTGCTTTCCACGATGTCCATCAGCAGCCCTCACCAAGACAATGCTCCAACCAACATGAGCATGATTGTGTGTCACTTCCCTCATCATCGATAGTAACTCTCTCTCTCTCTCTCTCTCACACACACACACACACACTCTTTTTCTGGTTTTTCCTCATCACCATGCCCACAGGCTCAGCAGCAGCTGGTCACTATGGCCTCACATGCTCAGGAACCCTCCCCATGAGCAGCACTGTCCTGCATGGAGGAACACTCTGCCAACACCCCAGGGCAGCTGCTGTGTGAGTTTGCTCCTGAAGCAGCAGCATTATGGTCACGTTGGTGTGTCATTCACCTCCCCTAGAGAGTTCCTCGAAGGTGATTTCTTCATAATTACGTCTCCATAATTATATCCTTCTCTGTGTGGCGTAGGGAGGCACACACTGCCCCAAATGCCATGTGTTACCTGCTGCTGCTGTGTGCCTGGCATTTGGGAAAAGGCTGCAATGATTGGGAGAGAGAGGGCAGGAAAAAGACCTAAAGGTGTGTTCCTTCAACACCTCCCTCTTGACAGTTGAGCCCTGCTTTTACCATGGTCAAGTGTCCCAGGGRACCAAGTTACAGGGTGAATCAAACTCTATATTTAGGAAGAACAACTGGAAGCTATGACAGGAATTCCCTTTTACACTTYGCTTCTCTGCTGAGTCCCTCTCCAGCCTGGAGCAGCACTCAGTGCCGTCCAGGCTGAAAGCATCGGAGCAATTTCAGACAGATCCAAAGGGTCACAGTCARTACCTCAGCTGGTAGAAGAAGGTACCTCTTTCAGCATCAAAAGGAGGTGTGCATACTCACTTTGGACGGTTTGGAACTTTTCTTATATAAGTAAATAAATTAGCTAATCTTGAAGGGGTCGATTAAAATCTTGAAAGACCCTTTTGAAAACTCTTTTGTAAGTGCTGKGAGTTTACTACAATAGTTGTGGGTTTCTGCCTATTTTAATGTCTCATGCAGTGTATCAGAGTATTCACAGCAGATTGCTATTGCTTCACAGTCTGTGGGGATCTTTAAAGATTTAAAACTGAAAGTCGCTTAAATACTTTGTGACTCATAAGAACTGTGTATGAGCTTGAATAATGTAGTACATAGGCAGATGGTGATTGTTTTCTRTATGTTTGTTATAGTTAGTGAAATATTACATTATTGTTTTAAGTAAGAGAAGTTTCTTTCACTAAGCTTAACAAGCAACTGTTTTGGAGGTGATTGTGTATATGCTACAGAAAATGTGACCACATTTGCCTAGAGCTTGTAGTAAGTTTTTCGTGTAACAGGCTGAAAGCTGCAAAGTAGGGTTTTTTTTTTTCTTTCATTTGTGCTGTCTGGGTCTCACAGCAGTGTAGTTCCTGTCAAAGCTTTTTAATAAGATAATACACTGCATTCTGTCTCCAAAATACCCCTTGTGCTTGATGTGGTGGGGGGAGAGGACAGAGTCCAGCTGGGGCAGGGGGAGGGCTCTCTCTCTTGTCTGTGTGCTACTGTACATCTCTTGTGTGCATTACAAAAGATGGCATTATGATATCTCATCAAATTGAATAAATCAGCTTATTATCTTGCTGCAGCCCTATCAGAAATTATTTTTAGCRGAGAGACAGAAGATAGGTCCTTTGTTTTACACAGTTTCGCTTCAAAACACTCATTTATTTCACTGCAGYRSTCTTGTGTTTCACAAGTARTCCTGCTCATGAGTATTTTRACWACAAATCAAGRGAAGTCTGCCATAAACCAGCTCCAAATTGAACTAACGTGGCCATTGCTTTCTAAGTTTGGCTCAGCATGCAGCCCATAAAAGGTAAAAGGTAAGGTGTGGGGAGGCCAAAAAGACACCGGGGAATACAGGCTGKGAGTCTGTGTTTCAGAGCTCTGAAATCCTGTGTGGCAATGAGGGTGAAGAGGGATTTTTTCGATCAGAATGCTAGAAATAGCTTAACACAATCAGTGGAGGACTCTTGACTCTCTGTCTGAAACAYATGGTGAAAGAACAAAAGATTTTACAAAAATTAACTGACCGCTTCTGTAATGGATGCTTCTGTAATCTGAAGTTTATTTTCCTGTGATTGATGGTCAGTATTGCTCTGTAAGGAAACTCAGGGAAGGGAGGGAAGGGGAAAGAGCCAGAGATCTATTTTTACTCAGTAGTGTGCTGTTGTCCTGATTTCTCTGGCGGTAACGAGGACAGCACGGTCTGGTAGGAAAATCACCTCCTCCAAAAGCAGTCCTACACAATTGTATCATGCATCCCTCTTTAGGAACYGGTGTCTGATTGCAGTAATTTCAAACACTGACTGCTTGTGAACCCACAGCACCTTGCTGAGGAGCACTAATCTGTGCTTTTTTGAAAGCTGAGCTTTGGGGTAAATCCTTGCCATTTCTCTCTAAGTGGCCAAGGAGATGTGTTTTTGCAAGATGAAGGCATCTTAGCAAGAATTTCTTTGTGCTTGTGAAGTAGATCCTTAAACTGTGGTTTAAAATGTTTAATGGGATTTTCCTGTGCTTTTGTTTCCATTTTTCATTCTGGAAATGAAAAAAAAAAAAGATGAGATGTTGATAAGAAAATTCAATTAAAAATTCTGTACTATGACTCCTATCTTCCCAGTCGGGGGAAGTGTGCTTATTTTGGAACATATTGGTCAACAGAATAGTTATTTATACTATATATATAATAAAGTTATATATAATACATATAACTTATTTAGTTATATGTAATAAAGATTTTCAAAAAGAAAGGAAACTGAGTGTAGTAAATCCTTTTGTGTTTTTGAAATCTGTTTGAATTTTGTCGTGAATGTCGGTGGTCGAGATTGCAACCCCTAAAGTGAATTCTGAATTTTTAAACTCTCTCTCATTTTAAGATTGTATATGCAAAACCACAATATAAAATTAATTAAAAGAATGCTGTTTTTTGTTTTTCACAGTGGGATTTTTCTGATTTATTAGTTTAAACCCAAAGTTTAATTAGTTTTAAGCTGTTTAAACCCAAAGCAATTTATGCTGTGATGGTTTGGACAGCACTTTTAGCAGCTCAGAGTGTAACCATAGGGAGACCTCTAATGGTAGATCATTTGTACTTTTAATTCTTCTCAGCATCACACATGGATTTAAAACTGATGTGAAAATATGCAAGAGCAAGTCTTTTACTCAGTCCCAGAAATACAATTTAAGGCTGAYATTCCAAGTTGAAGCCAACCTACAACTCATCTATACTTTTTTTTTTTTGATACTGTCTTATGTGACAGTCATACTCTTTGGAGTACCCAAGGCTTTGACACATTTTTAATTTCTCAGTATATTTCTACTATTCTCTTTTATTTTTATTCTCATTATTCATTACCTTCCTAGCTAAGGTTAAATACAATATCAAAAATGTGCTGCACTTGGAGGTGATCAGTGCATTCTCTGGTGAATAAATTTCTCAGCTTTTAGAATTACWACCTTACTTTATAAGAGTTAAATAACTAAGCTTAGATGAAAGTCTAGTCCAGTTAAAATCTAACTTYTCAGTGAGAGAATAAAAGGCCCAGATGGTGTCTCCAATAACGTGCTAATAAAATTTCTTCCTTTTTTCCTTTAGTGTATTTCTCTTTGCTATTGTATATTAATACTGTATCAGTCCATAGTTCTCCACCTGCATAAAATTCTATGGAGAAATATGTGATTTTTGGTCTTATTGCTAAAGAAAATTGATGAATCTATGTGATCTAAAACTTTGTGGAGAGGCTTCTTTGTGCACTAGCAATTGTCAAGGAGAGCTTTTCTGTTTGACCATCTTGATAATTTTCAGTCCACAGGCATTAAAGTTTTGCAAGGATTTGTGAGTCAGAAAATGATTATGTCTGCATTTATCAGTATTTTCTAATGAGTTATGCTTTATTTGAGAGAAGGCTTAAACTGGAAGTTCTAATAATGCCCACGTACACACTATGACAGGGCTAATTGTTTATCCTCAAATACTTCCCCTAATTCTTCCTCATTTTACAGTGCTGTTTAGGTTTGAGAGATTCCTTATCTCTGCCCATTATTGTTTTTAATGTGAAAGAGATAGCTTCATTTGTGGCTATGAAAAATTAATTGGAGAAGCTCAGGTGTTCTGTCTCCTTCTGATATTCAGAAGGAATAACTAAGCAGTTTGGAAACTGAGATGGAAAGAGGAGCTGGGCAGATGAAATGAATGCCTGTCAAGAGGCAGCATGGGTTAAGTTCTAGCTTATCTTCCACAGCTATCAGAATGTCAGAGCCTGTAACACTTTCCAATTTTGCTTGCAGGGATAAGCCTCTGTCTTAAAAATGTCACAACAACCAGCATCACATGTCAAAGCCATTCAGGTAAGAGACAGTATTTATGTTTTTGATATAATAAAATAATAAATCTCAACCTCCATCGCTTGGCAGACTGCATTTTTACTCAGAAAAAGCATCATAGGAGTGTGAGCTGGGGTTATTCTGTTAAAGTGAAAAGTTTAGTAGGTATGAAAGGACTGAAAAAGTGTGACCTTGAGAGCATCTTTTGATCTTGGCTGATAAAAAAAACTGGATCAGACAGGTTTGTTAATCACTTGTTTGCATGGTCTTTCCAGTGTTAGGTTATGCCTATTGAAACATCATCTAAGCAAAACATTGTAATGCATCTGCATAACTGAACAGTTAAGTGAAAAAAAAAAAAAATCCTGCAACTTGTAGGTTTTTCCACAAAAAAAAAAAAAAGATGGGAGAATTATAGGCTAAAAAGRTGAAATRGCTATTGTGAAATTTTTCATTCCTTAAGGAGATGCATTCTGCATTCCATAAGGAGAAAACCCCTCAACTTTGAATAATTGTTTAAGAAGCATTTTATTTAAAAGTTTTAATAAGTAAAGTAAAATGAGAGAAATGCTGATATTTTAATTTGAAAGATTCTTGTCTGCCACATACTCCTCAATGGCATAAGCTTATGAGGATGAAGTTGATTGTTGCAAACTTGTAAATGAAACAGCTGGAGAATTATCCCAACATCACCATGCAGTAGTGTCATGAAAAATGTGTTTATTTATGTTATCAATGATTCTTGTCAAAAGGCCAAAATATCTTCTGAACTGAAGAATCTTACAAAATTTTCATGTACTTTGTAAAATGCTCTTCCAATGAATTTTTACCACGAGTTCAGGTTGCCTTACCTAAGAAACAGAAAATGGAATTTCTAAARTTTGCTCTGTTCCCTGTTTCCTTGGGATAATAATGGGTTGGAGAAGATTAGTTATCCAGGGGCTAGGTGGTATACTGGAGATGCAAGGCACTGTAAAAATGCAGATTCTCTTCATCATCAAGTCTCCTAAAACAGGCTTGCAAACTACTGTACTCTAATTCTGCTGAAATTAGAAAAATTTTGCCATTTTGCCATTTTGCCAGAATTTTGATTTCTCAGTTCAAATTTCCATTCCTCTTTTACAGTGACTATAAAAATGTTTGTATGATATAGATATTTAATAGCTCAAAAGTATTTATTTACATTTTACATTTAAACTCCTTAGGCATGTACAAACATTTTAAAGGAATTAATTGGTTTACTTTTGTTTCTTAAASGTGTAGTGATAGGATGCATTTTATTTTAATGATGACTTTCCAACTTCTAAGTGTAAACAATGCTTCTAGCTTGTTATTTAAAAATGTATTAAATTTAAGCACTAAGTTTAATATTAAAAAAAAAAAAACCTTTAATTTTTGCAAAGGTGATTTGAATCATGAGAAAAATTACAGCACAAACTTTCAAATATACCTATTAAACATTGTGTCAAAGGTGGTTCTAGTAGGGAGACTTGCACTTGAATTGATGCTTATCACACTCTGAGCACTCTGAGAACCATGACTCAAAATGTCACATTACTTTTATACATTGTGATTCATATATTATGATCCTTTGCTATTGTGTGCTGTATAATAGGACTGACGTGCCCTGGAGGATGTACATCATGCTGCAGCAATGGGAATGTAATGGCAGCTTGCAAATTCAAGAATTTCATGATATTCTCTATCTGAAATGGCTTTTTTTTCTAACTGTACAAWGTGTAGATAAAAATGTTCACTCGCCAATAGGTGCTAAATACAGACAGGGGAGAGTTAAAGGCAGCAAYTGGTTCCCAAGAGCTTGGGGCAACAGAGGACCAAAGTACTGTTAATTCCTGGAAACAATTGCTGACCTCCCCTTCTCGGTGTGTAAAAGGCTGTGAACATCTCTGACTGAAAATTATTCTATTTTTAAACACAGCCCTTGGCTTTTCCCCGAGGTGAGGGTGAGGAGGCTCCTGGTTTGTTGTCCTTCCTTCCTTCCTTCCTTCCTTCCTTCCTTCCTTCCTTCCTTCCTTCCTTCCTTCCTTCCTTCCTTCCTTCCTTCCTTCCTTCCTTCCTTCC